TTTTTTTTTTTTTTTTGCCACTACAATCCCGTCGAAATGATAATATTTGTCCAATAAGGAAAGAGAAAGAAGAGAAGAGAAAGAAGAAGTATGCAAGCATAGTTTCTGTTCTTTCTTTACTTTTTTTTTTTCTTCCATACAAAAAAAATTTGTACAAAAACATTAAGTACAGACATTCAACAGCCCATATTGAGCCAATAAAACTTTATGGAAAGGTATAAAACAGTTTTTTAAATGGTGTGTACAACTAAAAATAAAAAGATGAATATGTGTAATGATGTGTTTAAGTGTAGTTGTGGTGTGTGTATCAATGATTATACAACTGTTGTTAACTGTTCCGTAGTACAGAGGCAGTAAATTTTGTACGATTCTCAAAATGGCATCAAACGATGTCTACAGAATTGATATTGTATTAATATAATTTGAAATTTTAATACAACAAAGTCTTTTTGTTTTCAATCTTTTCTTTTTTCTGTCAATTACTTCTTTATTTGCCTTCATTTTATAACTTTAAAACAGGCTAATTTCAAGAAAAAAAAAAGGAAAGAAAAAAAGACAAATCAAAACAGAAATAAAATAAGACAAGAAACAACATTAGTCCGCTTTTTTCTAATTGTGACAAAACTGTACGAAAAAAGTTAGTGAAAAAAATAAGTTACTTAATAAGCCATCAGACAACCAACAATAACATCACATTAACTTTCTTTTAGCGCTGTTAACCCATTTTAGAGCTCCATGAAACAAACTTTCAGAAAAGCAACAAATTTGAGCACCAACAGCAATGAATGATGAAAGAGAAAAAAGTGAAAACAAAACAGAAGTCTAAAAACATCCTTAACAACACCTCGTTTTTTTGTAATCAACAACTGTCTAAAACGCCGTCTTTTTTTTCTTCTTCTTCTTATGCTTTCTTCTTGCAGTTTTTTTCTCCTTCCAGAACTCCTCACATGTCATTGTCAAAAATATCAACAGAATTCGTAAAAGAAAAAAAACTTAAAGAGCAGTTAGCCGTGTTGCTTTATCGTTAGTTTGTTAGTTGAATAATCCACAGAAATCAAATAAACAGTAAAATTTTTCGGAAACAGAAAAACCACAACAGAAAATTATAATGACAACTATAAATGAGTTAGCCATTTGTGGGGAATAGTGCCGGCTATCAACAACTGAGTCACCTCAGTCACTCAGTCAGTTAGTCAGTCAGTCAGTCGGTCAGCCAGCCAGTTAACCAACTAGTCACTTGGTTCCTTAGTTTGTTAATCGGTAGTCAAATGCACGACAACTTCTTGGTGACGCTAAAGGATAAAGAAAGCTTTAACAAACGCGAATTTAGATTCAACGACGGATTAGACTTTAACGATGAAAGGGGGAGGGGGGGAGAAAAAAAAAGAACAAGCGTGCACTGTATAAGTCACGAGCGTGACTGACGACTACCTGCAACCTCCCACCCTCCCTCTCCCTCCCAAAAGTTAATTCAACAGTCGTCACATATTTTGAACGATTCGTTGTTTGCACACTGTTTCCAATCATTACCAACTGTCCAACCACTCAAATATACATCTTCTACCAGTAACAAGTACAGTAACAGTAAAAACAGTAGCAAAAACAAAAAAAATAATCATAACATTAGTTAGAAATAATAGTAGTAGTAATGACAACAACAACCACAACATTAGTCGTAATAGTGCTTCCTCACCTTTACCCTCGCATCACCTTCCTAACATTCACCTTGTTCATTATTTTAAGTACACACTTATTTCAGCAACAATGTTTTTAACATCCTCTTACCTCGTCACTGCTCTTTAATAAATGATTATTATAACATTGAACAAAACATTTTTTTACAACAACTAATGAACAAACAAAATACAAAAGGAAGTAATGATGACATTTAACGAAAAAAAATTACAACAATCATTAGCACTACCATCATCGAAAACTTGTCACATAAAACTGTTAATGGCATCAAGCAGAAATATACTTCATTCGCCAATAAATCGAAAAAAGTATTCAAAAAATTGCCAACTAGACTACTTTCAATTGAGACTGCTCTAGTAATAGTCAGTAGAAATGATTACTTTTTTTTTTTTCTTCTTTCTTGCTCTTTTTATCGTTTTTTTCCTTTTTCTCTTTTTTGTTCAAGATCCCCTATTTTGCCTAAGCCATGCCAAACCGAACCATTCGAAAGAACACTGTCGAATAGAGATTGTCGCCGTCAAAGCAATGCCCCTCGTCACCGGTTGCACAATAATCCGTCCCACTGACAGACGACAACAGTTCACTGATGCTGATGAACTCGCAACGAAAAATCGTGCACAGACTGACATCTAAATTATAACCAGCCAGAAATCTTCTAGTACATTTGAGACCTGAAGATCCACGCTTGAGATAGAGCAAAATTTTTTCAGCAAATCTTTTATTGTCTAAAATTTCTTGTAAAATTTTTCCTTGTTCACCAGTTCCTCTAGTTTAACATTGAAAAATCATAATACCAGTAACAAACAACTATCGGCCATCCAATATTTCTGTATTTGTTCTATTTTTTCAAAAAATTGACTATCAAATCCATTGCGCAAGAAACTGCTATTGTTTGTCCGTTACACAGAAAAAGGAAAAAAAACCTAGATATTAACTGACCGCAAAAAAAAGCTGTAAATCTCCGCTGACAATAATCTGTACTGCATTGTAAAACCGTTTTTCATCTCCGAAAGAATAGCAAAAGAACATCAGCTTTAATCCTCAGTTTATAACGGTGTATGCTTCAATAAAATTCATTACTATAATACTATTTTGGTAAATACAGATATGTCGAGTAAAATGTTTTGTTGCTCCAATGCTTCATTCCTCTTTAAGCCTCTATACTAATTAAGCATCACAGAAATTGCTTAGACCCAGTTATTAACATTAGTTTACAAAGGTAGTGAAATCAACAGATTTATTTTGTTCTCAAAACACCTTCCCCAAACATTCAGAACATGGAAAACTTGTCATGTTCGATTTCAAAACTGTACCTGACCAGCTTCCATGTCAAACAAATGAGAGCTTCCCGAGTCTGTCCCACAATACCAAAAATGTCAATCAAAATTCTCCCACATATCCTCGATATCCGGTTGACTTACTGCTGAATACCCTTATATTTTGATGGAAGGGAAGGACAACTCTATCCCAGTCACAAATTTTCATGTTTTAAAATAACCCACAACCTTTTTCACCACTGACGTCTTCGTAATCAGCTTCCAGTTACTGAGTCATCCCCACGTCTCCCCATCCAACCTCTCCGGCCGTTGCTGCGCTGACCAAACCACAGGGCACACCAAAATAAAAATGTACCAGCTGATAATATTTCTTATGCACAAACCAGGAAAATTCACCGTTACAACGTGACTACAATCATCAGTGTCGTTCCAAGATCCCAGCAACCATAACTATCAGAACTAGAAATACACCTCACCTTATTTCATCCACCTTAGCTGCTGTACAGCCTTAACCGTAAACCATCTCAACCTTCTGATTCATTACGCATTTAAATCACTAATTAGAGAAAAAGAGCATATAAAAAACCGTTGAAAATCATGAGGTCATTTTATTAAGTTCAGTATACAGCCCAGCAGTGTTAAACTTAAAAAAAAAAAAAACCAATTCAACAACGCGAATACCACAACAAGTTCTTCAAAAAACCACACTATACATCAATTACCCATCCTTTCTTGTAATACAACTATTTTAATAGCAAAAATTCTGGGCAGCTCCTTTGAAATGGAACAGCCATCCCAAAAATCCAATCATTTCCACCCCATACCAAATCAGTATTGCGTAATACATTAACTGAGACATTGCACAAAAGTGAAATGATCATAAAATTGAAACGATAACAAGGAACATTTGTTTAGTGAAACACAATCAAAAAAAGACAAAAAAACGAGCATAAATTGAAAAGATAATATGATCACAACTGTATAATGAAAACAAAAAACCTTTATTTTAGTTTGACAACTCTTTTCCCAAACATTTTCTTTTTTTTGGAACACTCAAGCAGATGCAAGTGTAAAAGATTGAAAAAAATTATGTAACCAATTTTCATTGCTGTACACACAAAAAAATATAATCGACTATAGAGTTCATATAAGGTCCGTACAATAAACTCTTCAAACTAAAATGAAGAACAATAAAAAGGCAGTAAACGGCATTTTGAGCACCGTAGAAACAAACCAGTTAAATATTACGAATCATTTTATATACGCATAATGTTCTTCAAAAGCTAAAATATATCCATACACTTTACAAATCATATTTAAAAAATGATGCAAAAGCAGATATGTAGAAGAACTATGACAACTTAACACTTCCAAATTTGAGCAAATCTCTCTAAATCCTTTTGCAAAGATATTTAAACAAATTTATATTCATACCCAACTATTTCCACTGATTGAATCATCAGCTCCATTACGCTTGTGTACAGAAGCGTAAAGTGGCTCTCCCTATAAAACAAAAAAGCACTATATAATTCCTGATTATGTTATAATATAAAATTAATCAAGTATTCATTAAGTATAAATCAATTAAAGTGGAAACGTATATCAACTCAAGCCTTAAAAAACTGTACCCTTTCTCGTGTCCGCGTCTGCTGCAAGGGAGTTTGGCGCCCGTACTGTACTAGGCCCTGAGAGGTCGGCCTACCACTATATGTGGCAGTAGCGTATTCTGCACTAGTGTTCCCAGGTACCTATTTTAAGCAGTTATAATTAATAACCCTTAGCAACGGTAACAAAAAATCATTGAAGAAATATAGTTTTCATTTTAAAACATACAGAATATGTACTACTATAAGCGCCGGGGGTGTACATGCTGTAACCACCAGAGGAATCATCAAGATTTTCACTGCGTAAGTATGCAGGCCTTTCAGGACCTTGGGACGATATGGGCCTAGCAAGGGTGGTAGACTCTTTGACACGAGAAGATATTCCCGAATAAAAATCACTTTCCGACAAACCCTGTCTTCTGAACCCATCATGAAGCTCTTTGTGCTGCCACATGACAAACAGAACCTACGATGAGTCACTATCATCTCACAGATACAGATAAAGGTTACTTTTACCCAATGACACAAGACAGTGTTGTTGCAAAAAAAGTTGTGAGCCATATATTGTTCACAGTGATTAACTTAACTAACCTGTGAGGCATACTTGCATACTCTGGCACCATAAGTGGGGTATGAACGAGAAAGAAACCTTAAACGATCAGTACCCCCACAGTCATGAAGGCTTCTAAAAAAGTAATTATCACATGTATACACCAAAGAAAAATCCAAACTTGATCTGCCTCAGTAACAATTGATGGTAAAAATTTCAGTTTAACATTGAAAAAGAGACAAATCTACAATTTTAACGTCTTTCTTATTTCAAAAATAATCAGATTTCGCCCACAAAGTAAATGTAGAGATTAGGAAAGATACTTCGCAAAGTCTGCTGAATGCTTCACAGTCTCGAAAAGAATGCCTAAAACTGCCCCAATTGTTGCATCACTGACACTTGGGTCACGAAGCCTCTGATCTGCTTTTGGAAGTTTTGAGACGAGGTCCTTCATAGCATATTTTCCAATTAACTCTCTATTACGCTGAAAAGAATAGGTGTTTCGAAAAGGCTATTTTAAATCCCAACTCCGGGCAAAATTCATGAAATATTTCTTTTGAAAAAATGAAAAATAAAGACAGTAAAAAACAACGTCGAAATATAAGTGTAAAAAAATAATTTAAAAATAATGATGCAAAAGTAGGAAAAAATACTGAATCTAAAGAGAGATTCCTCAATGCTGTAGTGACCGCGCATACAACTTTATCGTCATTAAGGCCCAACAGTTTTACAAGAATTGGGAGTCCTTTTTCTGTGCGAACACAAGCACGCACGGCAGCAGAAGGTTCAAATTCACAAGCAGCCAAATTCTGTATAGCCCCAGCAGAAGCCTAAAGCAGTATCATGGAAATAAAAGTTGCTTCGTTACATAGTAACTTTAATTCTTGTTGACTAAACAAAGTAACTTTTGACGGGAGAAGAACCGTTGACGGTCAGTTTTTTTTTTTCAAATACAGCCAAACGGTTAACAATGGGAAACTTTCTAGACAAGTTATGATCCCAGAAAGCTTTAACTTGATTTAAAATTTATTACCTCTAAAATTTCATGATTCAATGATTCCTGCAAAAGTTTCAGATATAACCTCACAAGCGATGGATCCCATATCCTCTCAGCCACCTAGAAAAAAGAAATTAAAAGTAGGTAAAATAAGTAAAGTAGAAATAAAAAAAGTGGAATATATTAAACCAGATAAACCAAATACTAAAAATAGAAGACAAAAATTAACAAAAGAACCAAAAAGTAAGCAACTGATACAAAATGTCTTACACTTCTCAACGAACTCTGGCTATTTGTATGTTCCACCTTATTCTTTTTCTTTTTCGTATCTTTCCTTTTTGCCTTGGGACTACCAGAAGGAGCTGACTTACTCCTTTCAGCTGGCCTTTTACCAGTATCAGGCACATCACGACCGTAATTCGAATCAACCACTTCTTGCACCCTGTAATTACTCCCAACCGTATTCCCCACGCTGCATTATATGAGCAAAATAAAGACGCGAAAGTAACCACTACTTAACTCCTCCTCTCCAACCAGAAAAATATATGTGAATTCTAACACAGATAATTCCGCTAATAAGGAATACAAGCAAAAGAAAGGATCAAACCTGTAGCTCAAATTCCTTAGAATGCAAACAACATTTTCGACTGAACGTACTTCAAATAACCCATTGCTTACTGCCTGTCCAAGGTAACATGCCAAAGCCTCGATCAGATATGGGAAAGCTCGCAAAGCTTTACGAGCTTTTGGCGACGCGGCTGACACATTTCTGAGTAATAAGTAACAAAGTCATGTATACCTCGTATTGAATCATTAAATCAGTCGAACTTTGGGCGATCAAAAAGCGAGCAAGTGTGAACTGTACACAAAAGCTGGCCAGGAAATTTAGCTCGCAGGGTCACTAACCCTGTCAAAGTTAGTAGGTTATGAACAGTAATCGAGAGACCTAAGTTGATACATGTCCAAAAATCACGATACTTTATAAGAATGCTTGAGTAAAAACTACTAACGCTACTTTTAAAGCTATCCTCTTTTTGTTGTTTACTTTTCATGAAAATTTCAGTAATAATGAAACATCATTTTCGTAGCTTATCTTTACACTCGGCTTATTAAAATTAAAAGTAAATACAGAAACTGGTAATGACGACCAAATCACGATACGTTGTAAGAATAAAAAAATTTTTCTCTAAAAAGATGCTAGATCCAAAAAGTCAGGAGCATACTTCTAAGAAGTCAAAAAACCGGCAGATAGAACTTGTGAAAGAGTAATATCAACAATTATTAAGGTCCTTGGCAAATTACTTAAAAATTTTCAGTCCATAACCAAGAAAAGTTCCTAAGGCGTTAGAAAACCTAACTAGCAACATAGCTCCTCAAAATGATATTGAAGCTCACCAGTTCTAAAAGTAGTTCCTGCTAACTCTTTGAGGTTAATTTCAGCCAGTCAGTGTTAAAACAGATCACAGCAAGCAGACGGCTCCTTAGTAACTTTTGTCTCTCGCAGAAAACAACGAAAACTTAAAATGTAGCACATCAAAACGTTCAAAAATTGCCACCAATATCATTATCAACAAACACACATAGCAAATATTGCAAGGCAATTTCTTGAACAATAATCATAACCTGCCAACTTTGCTTCTTTCGTAAACGTTTATAAAGCCCTAAAGAGGTTGCAACCTCAGCAAGCAGTCAAAAAACTAAGATTACTACTTCTAATTTATGTTTTAAAGACAGATCATATTTTCAGCCAGCCTAATATATACGATAAAGAAATGCAAAAAATTTCAAGCAAAAAACTTGTTGATCCTAACCTAAGCACCCCTGTGCCATTCATAAATATGTTGCTATTATAATTCCTTTCAGGATCTACACCGTTCGGTCGGTCCAACCCTGATAAAGGAATAACTACTCTTTGAACGATTGCTTCCGCAGATTGTTCCAGCATTTGCTCCTTTAATTCCTATAACGTTTCAAGTTGAAAAGTGTAAAAAAGCATCTTAAATCCTTATTGGTCAAATTCAACCGTACATCACAACTAGAAAGGTTCCACAAAGCTGCAGTAGCTTCTTCACGTACAAAAGCATCAGGGGTGTGCATTATTAAGTTAGCCAGTGCCTCCAAACCACCAGCATTTGCAATTGAGACCTAAATTAAAGGTTTAATGCAAAATAAAAGTTACTGAAAAGTAAACAGAAAAATTTGCAGCGCAAACCTTATTTACGTCATTCTCTTTGCCGAAAGAAAGGTTTTTCAAGCAACCACACGCATTTTTTTGTATTTCCGACACATCACTGCCAAGTAAGCGAACCAACTTCGGAATACCTTTCAATTCCCTGAAAAAACTTTAAACAGTAAAAAAGAAAACAAGAACAAAAAAATCAAAACGTTCCTTTGCAAACAGCTCATCCAAATAACACATGAAAATGAACTAAATAAATATTTGAAGAATTATTTAGTGGATAAAATAATTCGTTCCAATAGTCTCACATTCAGAAACCATACTTAACTGAATCTCAAAAGGTACTAACCTTGTTTCTTCTTTTATGACGTTATCATTGTAAGTTAAATGCTGCAGATAACCAGATGCATTCAATTGTTCAACTTTATCGTTGCTGTCCAAATACTCAATAACTTCCTTCAAAGTGGGATCTCTCCAGTGTACTAAAACACGAAAAGATACATCATAATTATAAAAAAATATGATCAAACTCCTGCATAAATGAAATACAAAATTAGAACTGAATCACGACAAATATACCGTCAGTGCGGGGAGTTCTCCGAATGGGTGGAGGAGAATCATCGTGCTCCGGAAGAGGAGGGGATTCACGAACCATTTCTTCTTGTAAAAGTGGAACAGTCCCGTGCCTTTCAGCTTCAACAAATTTCACGTCTTCTTCATCTATAAGAAGAGATTCGTAGTGAACAAAAAGCGGGCAACATTATAAGCATTAGCAGCGAGAACTAACCCTGCGGCACTCCAATCACAATAGGTGGTGAAGGATCAGAAGGGAGGGAAAAACCAACAGCATTTTTTGCGATCAAACGAAACTGGTACTCATGGCCATGTATCAAATCGCCAACTGAAAGTATACCACTAAGTGAAAATAAAAAATATTTAAGAAGTGTGTTACACTTGTTACTTCTACTTTTTTTACAGAAAGAATCACCCAATCCTCAGTGTGAAAGAATCAAATACATTATTAAATTTTAAGTATAAAAAGGTAAACAAAAATCGTAAAAAACTATTGTTCAAGTCCCGATTTTTAACCAATTAAGTAAGAAAATAAAAAAGTAAAAAAGGTTCCCTGTCGACAAAAAAATAATACTTGTCATTTTGCAAGATCGAATCAGCAATTCATTAACTTTGTACCATGCTGTATCCTGTTGATAATCACGAAACTCAACATCGTAACCCTAAACGAAAGAGATTACCATAAGCATCAAA